TTCCTTGTAACCTCCTTTTTAGGAGAGGAGATAAGCTCCCACTTTACCATTTTAATGAAAAGTGAAAGAAGGGACTTTTCCTGGTGGTCCAGTGGTTAAGAATCCACCTTGCAGTGCAGGGGAAAGTGGGTTCAAGCCCTGGTCAGGGAACTAAGATTCTTTACATGTGTGTGTCTGACTCTTTGTGACCCCATGAACTATATAGCCCACCAGGCTCCTCTGTCCATGGGGATTCTCCAGGCAAGAGTACTGGAGAAGGTTGCCATGCCCTTCTTGGGTGTGCTAGTATTTAGAAACTATAATTTAACCTGAACATTAATCCCAGTGTATTATTATGCCCATTCCAGTAATTTAAAATATGAAGTTCGGAAAGGACCAGTAACATGCCCAAGGTCACACTGACAAGTGGCAAGAACCTCCTCAAACCCCTTTTGTCAAACGAGCTGATGAAAATGAAGCGGCAAAGTTGGGATTCTAATCGGCTCTGTATGATCATAGAGCTTCAGGTTCCCTGCCATGTGGGCTTCCCACACAGGACAGCCTTATCAGGCGAGTGAAACCTGTGGGGCATGAGTGACCTCCTTCAGCTGATGAAATTATACCCAAGCTGGAACTTCCCTGCTGGTCCCAGTGGTGAAGAATCTGCCTTCCAATACAGGGGATGAGGGTTCGATCGCTGGTCCAGGAAGATCCCACATGCCGTGGGGCAACTAGGCCTAAGCACCTCAGCTACTGAGTCTGTGTTCCAGAGCCCAGGAGCCACAACTACGGAGCCCACAGGCCCGAAGGCTTGCAACGAGAGAAGCCCATACGCTGCAACTAGGGAGCAGCCCTTGCAGCAGCGAAGGCCGAGCACAGCCAAATAGAAAATAAATTTTAAAAAATTTAAAAACAAAACAAAAAAAACAGACACCTCATTAAAAGGTAATGGCCTGAGAATTCGTGGGGCACAGCGTGTGCAGACAGGCCGAGGCGCGGCTGGAGCCCACAGCTCCAGCTCAGCTTTCGTCTCGGTGGGGAGATTTCCCAGGCTGGTCCCTCTACAGGTCCTGCCCTAGTTTGGGCTCTGTCCTATTTTTCTGAAATTAACTAAAAGGAAGAACTCAAGAGCCCAAAAGAACCATGGGGTTGGCAAGACCAAACCCCTAGGAGGGGCATACCCATCAAGGGTCTTTGTTGAGTAGTGCTTGAGGACCGAGAGTACCTTCACACAAAGACTGAAAAGGTGAACGGCCTTGTCCACAGTGGGATGAAAGTGGGAATGCTAGATTCACGACCGTGGTGTTTGGACAACTACTGAATCGCCACGAGGCTATTCCTTCTTTGAGGGATGTCCAGGAGCTATATTGGCTGCAAATCTCCGTCACATCTGTCTCACCAGTCTGCACAGCAACCACCCGGTGATGTCAGGAGTCGCAGTTTTTTGCTAACTCCTGAACTGCGCCTCCCACAAAGAACCAGAAAAGGAGGGGTCTGGCCTCAAAGAACTCAGTCGTGACCCCAGGAGCCAGGAAAAAGACAAGCTTCTTTAAAAAATAAAATTAAATAAATAAAAGATTCCACTTGTCGAGCAGCAGAGGGAACGACAGCATGCTAAGATCGACAGTGACAAAGTTCTCTCTACAAAAGAAGCCAGACTCCAAAGAGCATGTACCATATCATTTCATTTACAGAGAGTTCAAAATGAGACAGAAGTTTCCTGAGGTGTTCAGAGTCAAGAGAGGCTTGTCTCTGACTGGAAGGGAGGCCATGATAACTGGAAGAAGCATGAAACGGGCTGTGTGGGTGCTTGACAAGATTTCATTTTGATGTGTGTGCTGGGTACACACGTGGTATTCATTCATGATAATCCAAGTTGTTCATTTCATGATCTGTGTGATAGTGTGCATTTTATATGTGGATAAAAATGACAAATTAAAAGCGCATTACAGACAGAAAGGGGCTTATACTCATGGTCATCTGCTTGTAGAATCCTGGTTACATACAATGGGCTGGAGGCTTTTTAAAAAACACAAACCCATAAGCCTATTTTCTCACCTTCAAATGGTTTCTTCACGGTTTTCAAATGCAGTAAGAGGTTTTGGGGTTTTTTTCCCCCCAGGCTGGGTATCACTGAATTTCAGGGCCTTCATGAAGACTTTTCCTGCACTTGGCCTGTCTCTGGATGAGCCAAAGCCTGCCTGTGGGCCCACAGAAAGATAGACTAAGTCACCCCCAGGCCTCCCAGGTCTGACCCCGGGGAAAGCAGAGACATGAGAGCAGGAAGTGAAGCAAGCTTCCCCAGATTATACGACCGACTGGCTGGTGGGTGGGCGGCTTTGGGATTCTCCATTCAAGGACTATCACTTTTCTACTACATCTCATTCCACGGGGGCCAATTAATGAACGCTCTCCTTCGGGGAATGGAGCAAACCGAGCCTGGGGATGTCCTGGGCTGCCCTCTGTAAACAGCGCACACAGAGGGGCTCGGGAGCTCCTCCCCGACAGGAAGTCACTTGTCGGGGAGAGCCGGGAAGGGGACGGTGCTGGTGCTGAGTCTGCACTGCAACACAGCCCAGCGTGTTCATGGAAATGCCATGTCTCCTAGTCAAAGCACGGTTGCTTACATGGACTCACTCCACTTCAAAAAGAAAAAAAAAAAAAAGAGGGAAGAAATGTAAAGCCTCTAAGTAGGGACCACACAACCCTGAATAATCATAGAGTTCTTTCCCCACTGTCTTTTTTAGAAAGTGGCTAAAAATAAAGGCTTGACACTTGAAATAATGTAAGCAAGCAGTCACCCGCACGCACTGGGCCTTTCCCATATATGGCTGCATTACCCTTCAGCCTTTGAAAAGGCCAAATGAAGAGATGGCCAACAACCAAAATAATCCTTCAGACGCTGGAAAACGAGGAGAAAGAAGTGGGAGAGTGGGTGACTGACAAACAATCGCCAGGCCCCACAGGGGTGAGTAACGCTGAGGAGGATTAGTTGCCATAGTACTTGAAAAACATGGGCACGCGTCTTGACACGGGACCCCTTCTATAAAGACTCTTGTTTTGCCCTCTGGCCTCAGCACCTAGAAAACCACAACTGTGGTAATTTAACATCAAGGACTTCAAGACAGAAACTGGTGCGGGGGCATGACTGAAAATTTAATTAAGGCCCTTCTTAGTGTGAAATCTGTGAAGGAGGGGAGGGCACACCTCAAGGTCAGCGACTTGTGAAGAGAGGCGAGGGTGGGGATCCACGTGAGCACGTCCCCAGCAGAGGCCGGCTCTGGAAGGTTGCTTCCTCATCATGGGGCTCAGTGCAGGGTCTGCTGGGTCCTACTTGAGGTGCTCCTGCAGAAAAGGTTAACCTATTCATGTCATACAAATGCCCTCCTGAACGAGGGAGGCTGGAAAAGTCCCATTTGCGTGGTGTTTCATGGTTCACAAAGCCTCATCATTTTAGACAGTTCTGGACACGAGGTCGAGCACCTGGTGTGGACACTGAGGCTCAGGGAGGTGAATGACCTAATGTGAGGCTGTGACGGGCGACTTGTGCAAGTGGCCCAGAGTGGTGACTTGAAGTGAAGGGAGAAGACTCTGAGAGTCCCTTAGACTGCAAGGAGATCAAACCAGTCAGTCTTAAAGGAAATCAACCCTGAATATTCACTGGAAGGATTGATGCTGAAGCTCCAATACTTTTGCTACATAATGCAAGTAGCCGGCTCATTGGAAAAGACCCTGATGTTGAGAAAGACGGAAGGCAGGGGAAGGGGGCGACAGCGGACGAGATGATTGAACGGCATCACTGAATCAATGAGCACGAATCTGAGCAGACAGCTGGATACAGCAGAGGACAGAGGAGGCCAGTGTGCTGCAATCCATGGGGCCGCAAAGAGTCAGACATGACTTAGTGACTGAACGACAACTCCCCATGTGCAGGCCAGGGCCGCTTCCACTCAAAAACCTCAGACCCAGCCCTGGTCAGAGTGCCATGCTGAGGTTTGGATTTCAGCACACCCACTACTCTCTATGAAAGGGGACAAGTAACTTCCTGTCTTCTGATGTAGACCCTCAACCAGAAAACGACAGGGCAGGTGTGCGGAGGCAGAGAGAAAGGTGAATAAGGTTGGCATGAATCACCCTGCTCTCTGCACCCATCTGGGGGTCTGTCCTCACGGCCCCCCAGACAGGACTGTTGGGCACTCTCACTGCTGCTTTCATGAGACGGCCCTCCTCTACACAGTGAAATACACACACGCACAGAACTCAGATGACTTCCAAGACCAGAAAACCTCCAAAAGCATGGTCACAAAAACTGGTGCAGAGGGAGCACAAACTTAACTTTTTCATTCTCTTTCACTCTCTATGGCATGGGCCTTCCTTAGGAAGCCTCAGATTCTTTTTCTGAAAAGACGCCCTACTTTTTGGTGACACTGTGCACTTCTAATGGTCTTACCGTGCATGCCCGGAAAGGCTGTTCTTTGGCTGAGGAGTCGATGATAATAACAAACAACAGCAACAAGCTGGCAGCATCATTTACTGAGGGCTGTGACACTCTAGGCACTGTTGCCGAGGCCTTTCTATACCCCACCTCTCATCTCTGCCACTACCAGCCGAGGTCGGTGTTCTTGCCCACATTTTACAGATAAGGAAACTAAGGCTCCAAGTTTGGTGACATGGCCAAGGAAGGCCACCTTAATAACTGCAGGGTTGGGATTGACGCTGCTGTCTGGTTGTCTCCAGAGCCCGTTCTCTCTCGTTCTACTCCATCCTGAAGCCCTGAGTCAACATGAGAAATTTCGCTAAATCAAGCCTGGATAGTACTGTTCGTTCAGGGTTTCTTCTCGTCACCATTCTGCTGCCCGGGATCCTCTCTGGGTGCACATAAATTCCAAGGAAGCAGGAGTGCCAGGAGGGTGGGGGAGAGGTGGGCCAGGAGGATGGCATGGTAAGGTGACCCCCCAATACTTTCCTGCTGCACCGCCAGGAGGGGGCCTGGAGTTGCAACTTCATTTCCTCTCACTCACCTGGTGAGGCACGAGGCCGAGGGACGTTGGCGGCTCATTCATGCGGTCGTCACTGCTGCTGGCAATGGCGTAGCCCCTGAGGAAGGGAAATGGTGAGAGCTGCTCATTTCAGAGAAGTTTATGTTTAATTCCCGTGAGGATGATCTAGACAAGGTCTGCGGAAGATTTATAAGGATAACTGAAACACCCTTTGCTAGGCAGCACAAGCCAGGGAAACAAAAAAACACACATAAAAAAACTAATTTTCCTGGGAGGAAGGTAGAAGAATAGTTTTTTTTTTAAAAAAAGGCCTGTGTTTTGAAGTTAGAAAGACCACAGCCTGTGGCCACAGGCTATTTGCCGATAAACATTAGTTCTGGTTCTCTGAAAGAGTCTTGTAGAACACCACAGCATACTGCTGACGTTTTGAAACAGAAAACTTTCCGACCTTAACTTCTTGAGGTGATGTACCTGCTACTGCATGGAGGAAGGAGAAAGAAAAGTGAGGAATTAGTGGGGCAGAACGGATGTGCTCCACCCCAAACCACAGTGTGGAGTCTCCTTACATCACAGGAGACATGCGACACGGGCCCTGGTTCTAGCCCGTGACCATGGCCGATGTGGGGTTGGGGTCAAGGACTCGGAGTCAGCTCTGAAAGTTTTATCCCAAACGCTTCCTGTCCAGGGCCCACAAGAAAACGCAGGAGCCAGGGAGATAAGAAAGATGAGAGGAAGACAAAAAAGCTGTTTGTTTCCATTCAACACTGAAGCAGCTATACTAGTTACGTATGCTACCGACGCTACAACGGCCATCTTTTCAAGCATGCAGAAGAACTCTGAGTTATACGGTAAATATATGTCGATTTCTAACAAGTGGAAAAACAAACCTTTCAAGAATTCACTTCTTCCGTGTCGGTATTACAAATAGCATATCTTAGCAGAGTGCTTAAAGACAGAGTTTACAGCCAAACTGGGCTGAGCTAAATCCCAGGGTTACTGCTAACCAGCTACATGAATTTCAGCAACATAGTTATCTTGGCTATGCCTCTGTTTCCCCATCAAAAATGGGACGAAAGAAAGGAAGGAAGAAAGTAAATGGGACAGATAACAGTTCTTTCCTAATATGTTTGCTATGAGGATTAAATGAGTTAATATTTGTAAAGGGCTTAGAATAAAGCATAACACAACGTAAGTACTATGTCAGTGTTGAAAATATGTAAGATAAATCACAGGGTATCTGTCACATAGTCAGACGTAAATGTGTTTGGCTTCAGTCTGACTTTACCATACAACCTTGACAGCACTGTCTCTAGCAGATATTGAGAGACTCTTAAATTGTTGATTAATTTTCTTTTTCTTTCCTTTGTTGTCTTTCCTTTCCTTTTTTCCTTCCTTTTTTCTTTTTTTAATTACTGACTCTTTTTAAATTAATTTAATTTTTGTCTCACTTTTCTTTGCTAGATGAAAGATGAATTACTTCTATTGTTTATAAGTCATGAAGTAAGATCTTCCTTGCCTGGAGAAGCAGGGTCTCTGGACCATAGCTGTGCTAGTTTTCACATCCAAGATATAACATACACACAATGTGTTGAATACGGAGTCTACCAAAAGGGCCAAGGTCAAGTCAAATCAAAACACATCAGCCTACTCCTTTCCTTCCTCTCACACGCAAGCCTAATGCTATAGGTGCTTAATAAATTAAAAAGCTGAATAAACTGAAAACTGTTTTTTAACTGGTGTGGCATTGGTAGACTAGGTAGTTAAGACCAGCCCTCCTATAGAGAAGACAGAGCAAAGCTAGACGAAGTATAAAAAAACCCTGTGTTTGAAGCATCAGCGTTCCCAAGGTAAGGGAGAATTACAGAGCCTAGCTATGTGAGAGGAGGGAAGCCCACAGAGGTAACCTAGGCATTTGCGAGGAGAGGTTCCCAGGGAAAGCGACTGCCAGTCTCCAAAAGCAGTGGCCATTGGATCAGAAGCTGAACAGCGATCCTGACTGACTCATGGGGCTGATGGTACATTCTAGAGCTGAGGTCTGCCCATAGGGAGGAACCCTGGAGAATATCCCAGGCTTTGAGTTGGAATCATGGCGGGTATACATCCTCAGACTAAGGGAGGACCTGAAAACAGAACAGTGCTAACTGACTAAGATTGTCTAAGATGGCACTCCACTTGGCCCAGCAGTTTGCCAGGAGGAAATGGAAATCACAATATCTATATAATTTTTCACATAATGGCCAGTACTCAGTCAGATAACCAAGCAAATTCAGGAATTGAGGAAATTTAAATACTTACTGGATATGTGATAATATTAGGGAACTGCCTTTGTTTTTATGTGTAAAAATAGTGGAGATACATACTTCAGTCATTTTTATGACTGAAGTACTATGTCTTGGGATTTGCTTTAAAGTCAGTGGAAGAAGAAAAAACATGGACAGTGGTACAGATAAATGATGACCAGTCATGTGTTGGTAATTATTGAAAATGGATGGTGCATACAAAGGAGTTTTTATACATATACAAATGGTGTGTGTGTATGTAACACATAATATATATCTTTTTTCATATATGTTTTATTTTTCTATAATAAAAAGGCTTTGTTTAAAAAAAACAGGTATATGAGGAGATAAAAGCTATAGACAAGAGGAGCATACTCATAGGAGATCTCACATTAATGGGCATATCTGATAAAAATTAAAAGGAAAACATGATTAAATGTTTTCAAAGAATAAAAAAGAATCACAATTTCAGCAGAGAACAGGAAATGTGTAAAATAAGATCAAATTATTTCTAGAAATTCTAGAACTGAAACATATAATAATGAAATTTAAAACTCAGTGGATAGTTTAACAAATAGACGTAGAAGAGAAAAGAGAGAATCAGTAAACTGGAAGATAAGCCAAAAAGCAAACAGCCAGACTGAAGCAAGGAAAGACATAACGATGGAAAACACAGAAAAGAGCATCACTGGATTCTAACATGCAACTGGGGACTCAAAAGGAAAGAATCAAAAAAGAGGCAGAAGTAATGCTTTAGGAGATAATGGCAGAAAATTTTCCACCATGGCTGAAAAACATCAAGCCATGGATTCAAGAGGAACTAGAAAGCACAATCAGAATAAACACAGAAATAAGTATATAATAATAAATACATAATTAAGTAAATATTTCCAATGAAATATTGAGAAAATCTTAAAAGCAACTGAGGGCAGGGGAAGGGGGAGAAAACCCAACTGTACCAAAGGAGCAGCAATGAAATAAACACCTGGCTCCTCAACAAGAATAATGGCAGCCAGAGACAATAGGATTATTTTCCCAACATGCTAAAAGACAAGTTGTGACCAATCTAGACAGCATATTAAAAGCAGAGACATTACTTTGCCAACAAAGGTCCATCTAGTCAAGGCTATGGTTTTTCCAGTGGTCATGTACGGATGTGAGAGTTGGTTTATAAAGAAAGTTGAGTGCTGAAGAACTGACGCTTTTGAACTGTGGTGTTGGAGAAGACTCGAGAGTCCCTTGGACTGCGAGGAGATCCAACCAGTCCATCCTAAAGGAGATCAGTCCTGAGTGTTCATTGGAAAGACTGATGCTGAAGCTGAAACTCCAATACTTTGGCCACCTGACGTGAAGAACTGACTCACTGGAAAAAACCCCGATGCTGGGAAAGATTGAAGGCAGGAAGAGAAGGGGACGACAGAGGATGAGCTGGTTGGATGGCATCACTGACTCAATGGATATGAGTTTGGGTGAACTCTGGGAGTTGGTGATGGACAGGGAGGCCTGGTGTGCTGCAGTCCATGGGGTCACAAAAAGTCGGACAAGACTGAGCGACTGAACTGAACTGAACCAGTCTAGAATTCTGTACATGGCAAAAATATTTTTCAGCACAAAGATAAAACAAAGGCATTTTTTAGACAAACAAAAACTAAAAGATCTTCACCACTGGCATTTCTAAAAGAAATGATAAAGGGTGTTCTTTCAGCAGAAGGAAAATGACCTAGGATAGAAGCTCAAGGACATAGAAAGCAGAGTCAAACAATGGAAAATAGTAACAAAATTAAATGAACCCAACTATGGAACAATAACAATATCTCCTAGGGTTTAAATATATACAGAATTTTTTTTAATGAGTGTGTAGACACTGCTGGTACCTGCCCAACGTCCATTCTCCTTTCCTGTCTCATCATAGTTTCATTCAGAGGCAATGTGCCCAGCCAAAGAACTACATTTGTCCATCTTCCTTGCAGCTGTAAGGGCAAGGGCAAGTTAGTTTTAGAATCAATGCATAAGTCTTCCTGGAGAGCCATTTAAAGGGGGTCAGCCTCGGGGACTTCCCTGGAGGTCCAGTGGTTAAGACTCCATGCTTCCACTGCAGGAGGCACAGGTTCAATTCCTGGTTAGGAACTAAGATCCCACATGCTGCAGAACATGGCCAAAAAAAGCAGGGTGGTGGGGGGCAGCCTCAGCTGAGCACAACTTGCATCCTTTGGTCATTCCTTTCTTCTTAACTGTAACACAGAAGCAACCCTGAAGGCAGAACACTCATCCTGTGACCACAACAGGACAAGCCTAAGGAAGAAAGCCAAGAGTGGCTGAGTGAGTGAGCAAGAAACACAGTGTCTGACGGTACATGGGCACCCCTGTCTGGGGGCCTGCCTCTGAGCTTCTTGCTGCATGAGAAAAATAAAACCTTGCCTGTCTGACTAAGTCACTGAAGATGGATCTGTTACATACAGCCAAATCCAAGTCCTATCATATGTGATTCATGTACTGCCTTTCAAATGCTTAGAGCCAAGAAGATAAAAAATAATATATTAACAGAATGAAAGCAGGAAGGTCCTAAAGCCCCTATGAAAATTTTTATCCTTCCTTATCATCCATTACCAAATAACCCTAGGAGAGTTCAGTTCTACAAGGACGCAGAGACATAGCTCCAAACATCACATGACAAGTTTACCAGCCCAAAGGATCAAACCAGGTTGTTTTTTTAAAAATCTTGTTTTTTTGAGAGTGGAAAGAACAACACAATTCTCAGAAAAAAGTCAGATTGAGAAAAGGTCAAGGGAGATACAGAAGCTGTCTTTGTCTCAACAGACATCTCTAAACGGGAAACTCACCCTTCTGGATGCTGCAAAACGGAAACCATCAACTCCACCGCCAGGGCTCCTGCGATCATGGCTAGTCCCGGACGACTCACAGTGCACTGCTGGTCCAAGGTCCGGTCTCTGGTTGACTATGGAGAAACAGTCATGGACATGAACGCAAAGTTCTTTTCCACCCAAGGCAAGTTGTCAGGGGCATGCAACTCCTCCATGATAAAGCTCTATGACACAGCCAGACACTCACTGTTGGCAGAGATCAGTTGGCCTCACATAATACCATGTCTTGCGAGTACCAAGAAAAACAAAATATACCTGTTAGGTAACTAAATGAGGTAATACTCTAAAAACCCTTGAGTGCCCCGGAGACACTGGTGAGCAGGGCACAGCTATACAGTCTATGATGCCAAGCAAGGCTCACGAGGGATAATGCCACCTCCCCAAATAAGAGGATTTTTTTCTTTGTTAAAAGACAGTATTTTAAACAGTCTTAAAGGAAGGAGCTGGGTCTCTTTGCCCTAGTGGGCAAGACGGCTGTAGGAGATACTTGCAACAACAAAGAAATCCACTTACATCCCCTGGGGCCACCACATCATTGCAGAAGTAACAGCCAAGTTTGTAGCCAGGGATGTTGGCAAACAGCGATGAGCCCAGGAGGTCGGCAGATGCCACGGGGTAGCTGGGACACAAGTCCCCGGCTCCCTGATGCCTGGGCTTCTTCAGGCCGTGTCTCATGACAACGAAGGTGTCAAATCCCAAGGCAGCGTTGATGACCAGCTGTGAGTTCCAAGGAATAAAAGACCAGGGGTAAGAGATGCTTACATTTTAGGCCATGGCTAACTGCATATTGGGTCAACTTAAAAAACCTGTTTCGTAGTGTTTCTGTTCGATTGTAAAATTAGATTTTATAAGCTAATGTTGGTGTTCAACCCTGAATATTCATTGGAAGGGCTGAGGCTGAAGCTCCAATACTTTGGCCACCTGATGCAAAGAGCTGACTCATCAGAAAAGACCCTGATGCTGGGGAAGATTGAAGGCAGGAGGAGAAGGGGACGACAGGGGGTGAGATGGTTGGATAACACTGCTGACTCAGTGGACATGAATTTGAGCAAACTCTGGGAGGCAGCGATAGACAGGGAAGCCTGGCATCATGCAGTCCATGCAGTCACAAAGAGTTAGACACAGCTTAGCAACACAACAACAATGTTGGTAACAGCTACCCAAGACTGAAGGCTTACTAAGCGCAAAAGACTTGACAAGGGGTTAACATAAATTATCTCTCTTGGTTTCATTTAAAACTCCCAGCAAACATTTCTTACTTATAGAAGAAGATGCTGAAAGTCAGAAAGGTTATTTCTACAACTTGCCCAAGGTCGCTTAGCTGATAGGAAGGTATATAAAATTAAGTCTCCAGAGTTCTCAAAGCCATTCTTTGCAGCATTATGCTGTCATTTGTCATTTCTACAGAGATTTTTTTTCATAAATTTCATAGATTTTTTTCATGTTATATAATTCACCCTTCACACAGGTTTTCAAGGAAAGCTTCTTTTAATACTATAATATCTTGTTAGTCATAAATTGCCTTATTCTCCCAAATTTCTGTTTACATAGAACACTGAAAAAATCAAAGAAAACCACACCAGAAAAGACGACAAAAATCACTCAGAATCTCACAGCCCCAACAATTACAATAATAGTCCGAGGTATTTTTATTTTCTCTCTCGCCCATCCCCCTCCTCTCTTTCTCCCTTTCTCTTGCCACCCCCATTCTTTGATAAACAGACATGGATATCTTCATATACATAAACATAACTGATGTAAGATATATATATATATATATACTTATTTAACTATGTAGTATTTTCCATTATATTAAAATTCTTTGACAGCATAACTGTGAGTGGTTACATACTATTCTATCACGTGTATGCACCCTGACTTACTGAACCATTCATTCTTTTGGCCCTTCAAGTTGTCACTGGCCCGACCTTGGTGAATGAGCCAGAGTCTGCATCCTCTGGGAACTCACATTCCAGAGTTCCCAGAGTGGCCCCGCAAGTGCACAGGGCTCACAGGGTAACATCTGGGCTACATGATGGTGCGTGAGGCACACGGTCTGCGGAGGAAGTCCTTGGCCTTGGGTCAGCAGGCCACACAAACACCCCTCCGCTCCGGAGGTGGGGGCAGAATGGGGGGCACTCCGCCCTGGGAGATGGGGCCCACGCCCTACCTTTCTCTTGCTCGCGGCGATGACGGCAGGCAGCCACCGGCTCTCCCGGGTGTCCATCAACAGGAAGACGACGTCGTGGTCGTCGATGAGCTGCTCCAGCTGGTCCACGTCCCTGCGGGCCTGCTCCAGGGTGACGCTGGAGAAGTTCACGGGGTGCCCCGGCATGGGGATGCTCATGTTGAACCCTCTGGCGTTCTGGGGACACACCCAGAGAGGGGGGGCTTCTGAGGCAAAAGGACAGGTGGGATCCCAGAGCCTGCATCTCCCCGTCACCTTGAGCACGCAGGGCCACTAACAACCTGACATCTCCCCATCATGACCACGCTGCCTGAGCCTTCTGCCAGCTGAGCTCCCAGCCTCCTTCACCTCTGCGACCCAGACCACCTGTCCTGGCATCTCAGGTCCCTAAGGCTGGACAGGGCAGCAGAGACACAAGGATCTAGCTCCAAAGTGGCAGGGGTGGGGGGAGGCACTGCCCTTGTGGACAAAGCAGACACTGGACAGAACTGTCTCTTTCCTACAACCTGGGGCCAAGGCATGTCATCACAATGCCCTCAGCTTCCCCAAGGCCCTCAGTCCAGCCGGACCGTCTCTCTGCTTATCCCCAGATTGCCCTCCACTCCGCTTTCTTAGTATCGAACACCTCCAAAAGGGGTGTCACAATCAGAAATAATTTAACAAATTCACCTAAGATTAGGATGGCTGAGAGTCTTGCCGTAATTTTCTCAGGGGCCATATGCATTAAAAACAAACAAAACCCTCAAAACTGAAAGCCTCTCCTTGCTCACTAACCAGAAAACTAGACTTAGGAATGTGAAGATACTAGTCTGAGGGGTAGAGGGGCTGGTAGAGTAACCTGGGTTCTCAAGATTCAAGACTTATCATGGGGCCTTTAGAAGAGCTCTGTAACTTACCTCTTGTCCCCTGCTGGCTCCACAATGTGTTGGCAGATGAACTGTGAGTCACACATGCGTGCCAGTGAAGCCAGGGACATTGACTTCTCCCAGAAAAGAAAGTGTTCTAGAATCACAAACTGCACACTCAATCCCCTATAGCACCTGCCACAGGGAAGCGTGTGAAAACACCAGCTTTTTTATTTGTCAAAACCCCTCACATCCTGCAAAAACAGCTCAGGGACACAGCAGTAGGTCCCTTTACAAAGTAAAACCTATTTTGCAAGTGGATGCTATTTTCTTCATCAAACCTAACATCTGGAATTCAAGAAAGGCACAGTAGTAATAACAGCAAAAATTTCAAAAAGAATTGAGCAGGGGGGAAAAAAAGGTTGCAGCAAAAGGTGCCAGGTTCAAAACAAGTCCATTTTAACAAGGACACCACAAAGATACCTCTCAGGACCTCATAACTCCCTCATTCACTCATTCATTCATTAAGTACAGTGTATCTGCTGCATACCTAACACTGTAACGAACAGTAAGAAAAGCAACAACCGCTGTTAACAACAACAATTACCTTACTGTCGTATTTACAATAGACAACGTGTTTTAAGTGATGGTTGCTCAATCCACAAAGTTATTGCCTGGGAACTTTAACGACACCAAGATTAAAGCGTAACTACTCAACCCCAACTCTGACCTTCTGAATAATTCAGACCCTCACCCCCATCTACTTGGCTAACCTGAATGAATCTCTGCTTGCTAAAGCTCCAGCCATTGAGTCTACGGAGGAGCACTGGCTCCCGGCCCGCCACTGAGGCCCACAAGCCTGAGGCTGGAATTCAGCAAGCTGCCAGCACAGTAGTTTTCAACCTTGGCTGTACATCAGAACCACCTACAGAGTTGCTTAAATCCCTAATGCCCAGGCTTTTCCCCGGACCATTTCAACTGGAGTCTCTGAGAGTGGGCCCAGGGATGGATATGTTCTAAAACTCTCCAGGTGACTCAAACGTGCAGCCGGGGTGAGCGATAATTTACAGCAAGTGAGGTACACGGACAGACCTCAAGTGTCCAGTTTGATGTGTTTTGACAAGCTGCAGATTAACCACTGCACACGCCCCTCGGGGCATCGACTGTTATCCCAGGCAACGCTCTTCTACTCTTTTGCAGTCAATCCCCAGGACCTCTACCCCCAGAGTGTGAGAGCTGTGGATGCCCCTCACCCTCCCACCATTTAGCATTGTCAGTCTTCTAATTATAGTCATTTCAGTGCGTGTGCAGGGATATGTCTTCATGGGCCTGACTCACATCCCATGATGACTACTGATGGTGTTGAGCATGACGTGTGTTCACTGGCCACACACACACCTTCCCTAGGAAGCCGTGCTGGCCCAACACTTCAGTCCCTTGCAAAAAAAAAGGTTTGCCTGTCTTATTATTGGGTAGCAGGAGTTGTTCATGTATCTTGGATATAGGTTGTTTGCCAAATATGTGTACTGTGAGTAGTTTTAGTTTGGGTCAGCCTTTGTGTTCTCTTATCAACATCTTTCGAGAAGCAGAAACTTAAAACTTCGATGAAGTCCTGTTCATCCATGTTCTCACTCATGATCAGTATCTCCATGGTCCAAGGAAGCTCTGCCATCGCAGGGTCACCTGGCTTCTCTCCTGTAGAAGCGCTCTAGTTCCAGCTCCTACGCTGAGTTCGTAGCCTCGCCGGGGTGTCACCTAAGGCCCAGCGAGGCCTCTCCCTTCTGGATGGCTGGGACTCCGGGGCCTTGCAGCCTGCAGGGGCTCTGCCCACAGCAGACTCACAGTGCTTCCTGCCCAGATTACGGAGTCCTGCCCGGAGAACGCGCAAAGCCTCAAGGTGCTGCTGCCCAGACACTCTTCTGGAACTCCTCCCCTGCACGGCTCGCACAGGTCTGATATTCTGCCCTAAAGTTTCAGCTGCCTGGCTGCTCTGAATTCTCATCTCTGTTTCCTCAGCTCATCAAGACCAACAACACCTCCTTGGGCTCCCTGTGGGCCCTGACAAGGGCTGAAAAGCGCCTCCGTGCAATAAATTGGGACAAACACTTCTTTCTGAGCCCACAGTCTCTCACTGCCTGCTGGTCGGCGTCAGCCAAGTCAGTTTACACAGTCTACTCAGGTGCAGAACCGGTAGATGCATCATGGCAGGAGAGCCAGTCCGTCAGTCACTCATCAGGGTTGGAAACAGATGTCCAGAGAGGGGTTTTAAAACCCTCAGTGTGGCTCTACAACCCTACATTTTATTGCCTCACCTTTGCAGGGGAAATGGTGACCTCAAGTGGTTACTTGATTGATTCAAGGTCAGCTGTTTCCCTATTCAATGAATTCCACCCTAGGATTACACATATTATTTGTGGCTGAGTTCTTTTAACATCTTTTCATGTCTTCTTCACTTAGACTAGCCTCCTGTCCGGGGCCTGGTGTAAGGAAGGTGATGAGGCAGTATGTGTTGAATGAAAAACTATACTAAATTGAACGTACGAAGAGAATCACGTAAGCCTGGCGAGCCAATAAGTGAAACGGCTTCACAAGTTCTTTCCACACATCTGATGCGCTGCACTAGAACTTGGGTGGGTTCAGTGCTATTATCTTTCAGACTTAATTAATTAACTTATTTTTGGCTGTGCTGGGTCCCTGCTGCTGCGCAGGCTGTTCCCTGGTTGCAGCAAAAAGGGGCTACCCCTCGTTTCGGGTGCGGGCTCTCTCCCGACAGCACAGGCACCAGGGCTCGTGGGCTCAGCAGTCACATGCAGGGGATCAGCTGCTGTGTGGCATGTCAGATCTCCCTGGACCAGGGACCAAACCCGTGCCCCTTGCTTTGGCAGGCGGCTTCTTCACCACTGGGCCGCCAGGGAAGCCCCTGTGTGACCCGTTACTCCTTATAAGGCATGAGGGATAAAGGGATACGAGCCCGGGCTCCCCACAGTAAGGACTGCATAATCCAGTAGGGAAAATGCAGCAGCATGACGTAGGTGCTGGGGGACAGGCTTGGTCCTGGTGGGCTGATGCTTTCAAGAAGGGGAACCTGAACTCTAAGGCCCAGCATGACCTGGCCCTTGCTGAGGCCCTAGCTCCAAGTCTGTCTTTCTTGACCCTGTGCTGCAGCCAGCCCGACTTCCTTTCTGTCCACAGAGGCACAGGCTGTGTCCTACTTCAGGCGTCTGCACAGGCCACTCTGTCCGCCCTGGTCTAGCTAACTCTCACCCGCATTTCAGGGCTTAGCTTCCTCAAGGAAGTCTGTTCTAGGTCAGGTGTACCTGCTAAACATTCCCACAGCCACTGAGCTCCTGCTTCATGCACTTATTACAAGTGTATCCATTCATGAAATGAGTTTCTTGACCACATCCCCCATTAGACTCTCAGCTCCAGGCGAGGAAGAGGGAAGTTCGTCTGCCTTGTTCCCCAGCCCCTAGCACATAGCAGGCCTTAAATAAACGTATGATGAATGAGTAAGTCATAGGATAACTGAACAAATAAAATAGGGGGAACTGCATTGGGTCACAGACCACGGCTAGGATTTGAGTGAGCAAAAATCTCAGGCAGAGCTCAGATTCAAAGCCAGGGCTGTCTCCGGTGATAGAATGGATTAATCTTCCTGACTATGCACTGCCCACCTCTAATAGAATTATGTGTCCACGCCCTTGGCCATGTGGCTTTGCAGGACCTCCCACCAGGTAGGCAGGGTATCCGGACCAACCCCACTGACTTGGGGCCTGCCCCTGTGACCTGCTCTGGTGACGGCGATAGAGGACAGTGCTGAGACTTTAAGAGACACAGGGAGTGCTGGTAGGCTGACCAACTCCTTTACACTTCCACCTTCTATCGTAACGAGAGCAGGACCAGCTGACCACTGCTCCTGGAGCCTAGACTCTGGAATTACGACATACAGGGCAGACTGGAACAGGACTCAAAGCCAGAGCCCAGCCCAGCCCAGCCACTAAGCCATGACGACCCGCAGACCTGCGGACATGACATTGGGGCTCATGACTGTAAGCCACCTGGATGCTGGGAGTGTGTGACGTGTAACGCCGTCACAGCAGAAACGTAACTAAGACGTCTCCTCAGCGACGGGGTGCTCCTCCCTCTGGTCATCCAGCACCTAGCTGGGTACAGAGGGCTCAGTCAGTCCCACTGAATTAAACCCAAGAGATGACATGCTTCTGGTGAAACGGACAAAAAGGTCAAAGTCGCTTTTAAAGCAAAGGCTGAAAATGAATGAATCTGATGCTCAGTGACTAACAGAGAAATCTTAAGAAAGCAGGCTTTTTTTGTTTTTTCTTCTATTTTTAAGCCAGCGCTGAGAGCCTCTTGTGGCACTTTCAGTAGAAGCAGATGCTTTGGGGACACCTGAGCTAACCTCTGTCACACAAATCAACGAAGCATGCACGATGCAGAATCTGTTCTGCTGGATAACCTCAAAAACATGGCCAGATGTTTAACCAAATGAGCTGAATGACTTGCCTCTCACTGTTTTCAAAGTAAATGACAGGCATCAAGAACAAGCAGCTGCTAGAGTGAAAGGCTGAACATTTCGCCAGATCTTTCTTGTGCATACTATATCTAATTTCACAAACCTGTACTAACCATCAGGTATCCTGGCCATGAGGGAGATCATATCCTACAGTGGATCCAATATCCAAAGTGGATAAATCCCTTTGCAACAAGGCAGTATCTAACACCATGTGGACCCCCAAATTCCTCAATTCCATGCTTTGTAACTTATAAAACACTCTGTCATATAGCCTCCATGTTGGTTTCACAATAATATATGAGGGTTTTATTTTGTTCTTGTAATCCCCACTTCTGAGGTGAGGAAACAGAGGTTCCTAAAGAAACACACAATGAGGCCCTGGCAGTAAGTGACAGATGTCTGACTCTGTTCCCTCCATCCCGTAGGGCCTGATTCCTATGTGATTAACACTTAAACACGGACAGGCCCTGGCAAAAAGCCCTGATGTTCTCAGCACCCAGAACCAACGTACCACTCCGGGGAAGATCTTCTGTAGCCGGTCTGCTGCTGCCAGGGCCTTGGGCTTCCCACCCGCCAGGCAATCTTCAAATTCATACAGAGGCTGCCTCACGGGGTTAGAGTAGGAGATCTTGGCATTGTCCACGAATGTGATGCGTCTGACGCCCCAGCCCTGCACGGAAAAACCGGAGATCGTGGTGGGTTTCTGATGGACATTGCACAGGGTGTCTCTGCAAATCTCTAAAAGGGGTTTGGCTTTGGGGCAGCTTAGGAACACTGAAATACAGGAAACGCTGGAAATTGAATTGTGCAGAGTCCATTTTTGACAGATAGAATGTCAACTTCCTTTAAAAGATGAAATAATTATACACCCGGTGCCTCGCTTCCTACAGCAATGAGACTAAGAAATATGTCACTGCTGGTCTGACTAATACTTCACTATTTTTGACAGTGGCACCAGAGGAAGCTTAGGAAGGTGAGTCCCTGCTGCTGTCTTCAGAGGACTGTCAAGGGCCGCCCAGTGACCTCGCTTTCCCTGAATGAGTAAGTGAGCATATGTAACAGCTCATCCTAAAATTCACTCAAAGCCTAAAATAGCTCCATGTATTAATAAAAGTGACTTATAAGTTATTTCCAATTGTATAACACCACAGAAGATTTTGTACTATTTCTCAATGAGGCAAAGCCCTTATGAATATTCTGGAATGTAGGGGACAGCTCTACGTTTTCAGAAATAGCTTTCATGACTTCATACATCTCAATTGAATCTCAGAACTGAACAATTTTAAAGTCAGATAGGCTCCCAAAAATCTTTAGCTCCATTACTTTATTTTACAGGTACAGAAACTGAAGCCCAGAAAAGATACGTGACTCACTGTGGGTCATAAATCTGGTTAATGGTGAGGAGGAAATGAGATGCCCAGGGTGCAGGAAAGAAGATGCTTCCTTTCTGGGGGGTGAGGTGGGATATGTGTATGTCAGCAAATCAGAAACAGCGGCCTAAGAGAAGCCCTGCTAGGACTGACTGCAGAGTCTGACTAAGAGTCTGATCTCTGTCTTACTTCATTATCCTTCCATCGGTTCAGTCAGTTCAATTGCTCAGTCGTGTCTGACTCTTTGCGACCCCATGGACTGCAGCATGCCAGGCTTCCCTGTCCCTCATCAATTCTTGGAGCTTGCTCAAACTTATTTCCATAGAGTTGGTGATGCCATCCAACCATCTCATCCTCTGTTGTCCCCTTCTCCTCCTGCCTTCAGTCTTTCCCAGCATCAGGGTCTTTTCCAGTGAGTCAGCTCTTCACATCAGGTGGCCAAAATACTGGAGTTTCAGTTTCAGCATCAGTCTTTCCAATGAATATTCAGGACTGATTTCCTCTAGGATTGACTCGTTTGATCTCCTTGCTGTCCAAGGGACTCTCAAGAGTCTTCTCCAACACCACAGTTCAAAAGCATCAATTCTTTGGTGTTCAGCTTCCTTTATGGTCCAGCTTTTACATCTTTGGAACAAGATACATGACTGCTGGAAAAACCACAGCTTTGACTAGATGGACCTTTGTTGGCAAAGGAATGTCTCTGCTTTTTAATATGCTGTCTAGGTTGGTCGTAACTTTTCTTCCAAGGAGCAAGTGTCTTTAAATTTCATGGCTAAAGTCACCATCTGCAGTAATTCTGGAGCCCAAAATAATAAAGTCTGTCACTACTTCCATTGTTTCCCCATCTATTTGCCATGAAGTGATGGGACTGAATGCCATGATCTTTGTTTTTTGAATGTTGAGTTTTAAGCCAACTTTTTCACTGTCCTCTTTCACTTTTTTCAAGAGGTTCTTTAGTTCTTCTTCAGTTTCTGCCATAGGGTGGTGTCATCTGCATATCTGAGGTTATTGATATGTCTCCCGGCAATCTTGATTCCAGCTTGTGCTTCATCTAGCTTGGCATTTCACATGATGTACTCTGCAACTTATTTTAAGTTAAATGAGCAGGATGACAATATATAGCCTTGATGTACTCCTTTCCCAATTTGGAACCAATCTGTTGTTCCCTCCATCAGAGACACTGAAATTCAGTTAGTCTGACAATTGCAGGGCAAAGTCAACACAATCCAAGATTCACTGTTGGGGTTGAAGATGACAGGCCAGAATTCATCCTTTCGAAAGCATAGTTTAGACTGGCTGTGTGTTTTGAAGCCCACAGGTAACTCTAGTCTACTCATGCTGTTTCATAAGTGACTTTTACCAGCTGAGCAAACCACCATGTAGGGGGAAAAAAGACTGTGGAAAATCCAAAGGTCATTTGTGCTTGGCTAGGGGATGTTTATTTCGGGAGCATTTTTGCATTCCTTAGAGCAGTGCTGAGTGGACAGCAAGGAAGGCAGTCTGGAAACTGCTACAGTAGAAGAAAGCTACATAAATTACAAGCATGCTGCAGGCGAGTCACAGGCACGTGGACTTGCACACTTAACTTTCAGTTTCTTGGAATGCTATACAGTTTAATGGGCCTTCCCTGGTAGATCAGCTGGCAAAGAATCCGACTGCAATGCAGGAGACCCTGGTTCAATCCCTGGATTGGGAAGATCCCCTGGAGGAGGGACGGCAACCCACTCCAGTACTCTTGCCTGGAGAATCCCCATGGACAGAGGCACCTGGCGGGCTACAGTCCATGGGGTCACAGAGAGCTGGGCTGAGAGACTAAGCACATATAGAATAAGAAGTGAAGTGAAACTCACTCAGTCCTGTCCAACTCCTTGTGACCCCACGCACTATACTGTCCATGGAATTCACCAGGCCAGAATATTGAAGTGGGTAGCCTTTCCCTTCTCCAGGAGATTTCCCAACCCAGGGATTGAACCCAGGTCTCCCGCATTGCAGGTGGATTCTTTACCAGCTGAGCCACAAGGGAAGCCAAAGACTACTGGAGAGGGTAGCCTGTCCCTTCTTCAGCAGACTAAGCACATACAGTGTAATGGCTAATTGGCAAAGATTAAGGAAAATTACAATACTCAGTGCTAGTGAGGATGGGGTTTTAACGATTGAGAATGTAATACTGGTATTTTATTTCATTGGGATTTCACTGACTGAGAAAGTAAACTGGTATCACTCTTCTGGAAAGCAATCTGGCAATATGATTCTAAAATTTTTTACATGCTCATATCAGTCATATCAACCTATTTCCAGCAATCTATCTTAGGAAATAATTCAAAATATTGACAAAAATGAAATCACCAAGATGTTCTCTATAAAATAATTTATAGTTGTAAAAGATTGAAAGCAATGTTAATGCCTAAAAATAGAAGAATGTCTCAGTAAATCATGTTTCATCATATAAGAAGGCATATTCTACAGCCAACTTCTTGTTGCCAACATCTAATGGATCATAGAAAAGCAAGAGAGTTACAGAGAAACATCTACTTATGCTTTATTGACTACGCCAAAGCTTTTGACTGTGTGAATCACAACAAACTATGGAAAATTCTTAAAGAGATGGGAATACCAAACCACCTTATCTGCCTCCTGAGAAATCTGTATGCAGGTCAAGAAGCAACAGTTAGAACTGGACATGGAACAATTAGACTGGTTCCAAATTGGGAAGGGAGTATGTCAAGGCTGTATATTGTCACCCTGATTATTCAACTTCTGTGCAGAGTAGATCATGCGAAATGCCAAGCTGGATGAAGCACATGCTGGAATTAAGATTGCCAGGAGAAATATCAATAACCCTCAGATATGCAGATGACACTATCCTTATGGCAGAAAGTGAAGAGGAACTAAAGAACCTCTCGATGAAAGTGAAAGAGGAGAGTGAAAAAGTTGGCTTAAAATTCAACGTTCAAAAACAAAGATCATGGCATCCAGTCCCATCACTCCATGGCAAATAGATGTGGAAACAATGAAAGTAGTGACAGACTTTATTTTGGGGGGGCTCCAAAATCACTGCAGATGGTGACTGCAGCCATGAAATTAAAAGACGCTTGCTCCTTGGAAGAAGAGTTATGACCAAACTAGACAGCATATTAAAAAAGCAGAAACATTACTTTGCCAACAAAGGTCTGTGTAGTCAAAGCTATGGTTTGTCTAGTAATCGTGTATGGATGTGAGAGTTGGACCATAAAAAAAGCTGAACACTGAAGAACTGATGCTTTTGAACTGTGGTGTTGGAGAAGACTCTTGAGAGTCCCTTGGACTGCATGGAGATCCAACCAGCCAATATCCTAAAGGAAATCAGTCCTGGATATTCATTGGAAGGGCTGATGCTGAAGCTGAAACTCGAATACTTTGGCCACCTGATACAAAGAGTCAACTCATCTGAAAAGATCCTGATGCTGGGAAAGATGGAAGACAGGAGAAGAAGGGGATGACAGAAGATGAGATGGTTGGGTGGCATCACTGACTCGATGGACATGAGTTTGAACAAGCTCTCGGAGTCGATGATGGACAGGGAGGCCTGGCGTGCTGTGGTCCATGGGACCACAAAGAGTTGGACACGACTGAGAAACTGAACTGAACTGATTCTACAGCCATTAAAAAAGATTTTTAGGTATTCTTTTTAACAATATTAGAAAGTGTTTTGTGTTAACTGATAAAAACAAGGGACATTTTTACATATCAAATAAAAAATTTAAATATATGTTAAACACTGAAAGGAAACAAGTGATAAAGTAGTAGAAAAATGGGTCTTCTTTTTCTGCCTCCTAACGCTTACACTGTAGAAATTTCCTATAATGGATCTAGATTTATACTGACTTCATAATTTAAAAAGTGCTGGGAAAACCTATGTACCTAATTCTGGAAGTTAGGGAAAGAATGAAATAAATTCCTATAAAAAGATGAAGAAATTAATAAAAAGTAGATAGTAGTGAATCTGGAAACAAACCAAAACAAAAATTACAGAAAAAAAGAGACCAAGGATTTAGTTTTCTGGAAAGACAAGCCTATCTGAAAAGTCTGAATAACAGGAAAAAGAGAAAACAAAAATATTCAACATGAGGAATACAGCTCAGCTGGTAAAGAATCCGCCTGCAATACAGGAGACCTGGGCTCGATCCCTGGGCTGGGAAGATCCCCTAGAGAAGGGAATGGCAACTCACCCCAGTATTCTTGCCTGAGAATCCCTTGAACAGAGTATCATGACTGGCTACAGCCCACGGGGTCACAAAGAGTTGGACAAGACTGAGCAACTAATACTACTACTACTAACGAGAAGATAGGAGCTTCCCTGGGGGTCAGTACTTAAGACTGTGAGCTTCCACTACAGGGATGCCACTCAGTCCCTGGTCAGGGAACTAACACCCCACACATATGTGCAGCACAGCCAAACGTAAATAAACAGACGATAAATAAGATAAAGAAAACATGGGAAAGATGGCACGAGAATACTATATGTACTTATATCAATTAATTTTCAAGTTGAGATGAAATGGATGATTTTCTAGGAAAACAACATGACTAAACTGACTCAAAAGAGGTATAAAATCTAAAAGGTCAATGACCGTAGAAACATTTCTAAAAGTTCCCACAGATTCCCTGCTCTCATCACTAACAAAATTCCAAAGGCATCACGCTGAGATGGATTTATAACTGAATTTTACCAAACCATCAAGGAACGATACTTCATACACTAAACCTGTCCTGCCGCATAGAAAAAGGCAGAAAGTTTTATTTTATAAAAGTAGTGTGATTCAGCTATAAGATAAACAATGACACCAGAAAGGAAAAGAAAAACATTACTATAAACCAATCTGACTTATCAATACATATGGAAAACTTAGCAGTAAAACATTACCAGCTGAACTCCACTGTATATTAGAAGAATAACAAACTATGAACAAATAGAGTTTTTCCCAGGAATGCTCAGCATTAGAATACTTAGATTATCTTGAAAGATGTATTTGATGATAAAGCTCAAAAATCATTTCTGATATAAACTCACAGCAAACTAGAAAGAAAAATCTGTCTCCTTAACTTACAGAAGAATATTAGCAGAAACCAATATCACGTATCAAAACTAAAGGAAAAAACAAGAAGTTTCTCACTGAAATCAGTAACCAAACGAGGGTGCTAACTCTCATCACTGTTCCTCACCATTGCTATAGAGTCCTAGTCAATCCTATAAGACAAGGAAAATAACCAATATAGATGTTGGTGAGGAGCACTTATCAACCTAGATAATTCAAAAGAATCAAACAAAAAACTGTCATAGCCAAGAAAGTTAAGAAAGATGACTAGATAGAAGATAAACATTCAAAACTCACTATCTTTCTTCTATATTCATCCAAGTAAGAGTCAATTGGAAAATTTATCTTTAAAAGGAAAAGAAGTTAAATATGTGAAAACTAACTAAACGAGGCATGTGGGAAACCTAAATAAATAAAATGCTACAACGATGATTTAAATAATTTAAGAGATATACAATGCTTCTGAAACTAAGGATCAATATTGTAAAGATGTTAATCTCTTCCAATTTATCTATAAATTCATTGCAATTTTGAGTGAAAGCTATGAGTAATAATGCAGGAATGAACAAAGAGAATGGTGGAATAAAAACAGACTCCAGCAGACGAATGGATGAGGAAGCTGTGGTACATATACACCATGGAATATTACTCAGTCATTAAAAAGAATTCATTTGAATCAGTTCTAATGAGATGGATGAAACTGGAGCCCATTATACAGAGTGAAGTAAGCCAGAAAGATAAAGACCATTACAGTATACTAACACATATATATGGACTTTAGAAAGATGGTAACGATAACCCTATATGCAAAACAGAAAAAGAGACTCAGATGTATAGAACAGACTTGTGGACTCTGGGAGAAGGCGAGGGTGGGATGTTTCAAGAGAACAGAATTGAAACATGTATATTATCTAGGGTGAAACAGATAACCAGCCCAGGTTGGGTACATGAGACAAGTGCTCGGGCCTGGTGCACTGGGAAGACCCAGAGGGATCGGGTGGAGAGGGAGGTGGGAGGGGGGACTGGGATGGGGAATACATGTAAATCCATGGCTAATTCATTTCAATGTATAACAAAAACTACTGTAATGATGTAAAGTAATTAGCCTCCAACTAATAAAAATAAATGGAAAAAAAAACAAAAAACAAACAAACAAAAAAAAACAGACTCCAAAAAGAGACTCAGATATAAAGGAATTTAGAGTTTAATAAAGGTGTAAAAATGAGATTTGTATTAGTGAATGAATGACATTAAAATAAATGACTATTAAAAAATGTTATTGTTAAATTTCATAAAACAAAAAATAAATCCCACATTAATAAAGATCTAAACATAAAAATAAGAGTTCTATAAACCATAAAGGAAAAGATTAATGTATTCAATAACATCAAATTTTTAAAAACCTTTACATGGCTAAAGATAAATAAATGGAGAAAAATACTTGCATTTCATTACAGAAAAATGGTTAATATCCATAAAAAAGGAAAAGGGTTTGGCAGAAGATGAGATGGTTGGATAGCATCACTGACTCAATGGACATGAATCTGAGCAAACTCCAGGACACAGTGGAGGACAAAAGGAGCCTGGCATGCTGTAGTCCACGGGGTCTCAAAAAATCAGATATGACTTAGCAACCGAGAAATCCATAAAAAAAAAGTACTCCAAGTCAAGATACAAGAAACAGCCTAAAGGACATGAACAGAACAAACAAAATTCACAAATGAAATCAAATTAAAGACTAACCCTCAGTAATTAAAGAAATGCAAACAAAAAAGCTGTTTTACATTCTCTCTAACATAGTAGTTTTATTTCTAGAGTTTTTTTTCCTAAAGAAATAATCCCATGGACATGTAAAGGTATAAGAATGTTCATTTCAACAGCATCTCTAAAAGAAAAATATGTTGAAATTGATTAAATGAACTGAAGACAAGTCATATTAACAATGGGCTTCCCTGGCAGCTCAGACGGTGAAGAATCCGCCTGCAGTGCGGAAGACCTGGGTTTGATCCCTGGGTTGGGAAGATCCCCTGGAGGAGGGCATGGCAACCCACTCCAGGATTCTTGCCTGGAGAATTTCCATGGACAGAAGAGCCTGGTGGGCTACAGCCCATGGGGTTGAAAAAAGTCAAGACATGAGTGGGTGACTAAGCATAGCACAGCACATAACAAAATTCTACATAAACATAAAATGGAATAAATAGAAAGAGAACCACAATTATTGCTCTACTGAGTTAAAAAAAGAAACTTGCTATAGACAGGTTGCAATGATCCAAGCTTTGCAAATATAAATAACTAAATAAGAGCAAAGATGACCAGTGCCTCTCTGTATTAGCACACGCCTATGAAAATTACAGGGAAAGATGCTCCATAGCACTCGACGAAGTCTGCTTAATTCTGGGAAGTGACTTGGGAGGGGAGTGGAGGCAGATTTCTTGCTTCCACCTTATAACAAAAGCATGTGTTCCTTTTATACTGAAAGAGATACTGAGAAAAGAAAGGAGGGAGGGAGGGAGGGAGACAAGAAGGAGAAAGAAGGCACTCAGGCGCAGTCTGTCGTCCCTGGTATCCAAGGGGGGTGGGTTCCCTGAGCCCCTGGAACCAGCCAGAGATTCTTTTTATTTTTTTTTTAGTCAATGAACTCCTGCTTGAAGATCAAGGTAGGCTGGAAAACAAATTTTTTTTTTAACCGTAAACTTCAGTCAAAACTGAGCAATAACGCAGAGGGGGAAAAAAGGGAAAAAAGGAAGGAGAAATACAACAAAAAGACAAAAAAAAAAAAAAAGAGAGAGAGATGCATGCTTGGATGTTGGGGTTGTTTAGTTGGTTAATTTTTGGTTTGAGTGCCTTTCTTTTTTTTTCTTAAAAAACAAAAATGCCTCCCTTGGATGCGAAACCCACAAGTCCGGAGGGTAGACTGTGTAGTGAAAGAAGACAGCACAGCTTGAGAGGCGCCATTCGACCCCTGCAAACTCACCATCAACGTTCGGGCTACGTTACAACCCAAGGTGCCAGCTCCAAGCAGCAGACACTTGGCAGACACCACCTTGTCTAAGTCCAGAGTGGGGACCAATCTCCAACACATCAGCTTGAGGTTGAGATCTACCGATGACTCAGCTAATCTAGAAAAGGAGAGAATCATTTATTTATGTAGCCAGTCACCCGCGTAGGCCCCCAATCTTGTCTTTTTTTAGAAAGAAAGTAGCTTGTGTGAGAAGATAAGAAACAAGTAAAGGAGGGAATCAGGATCAAAGGAGAAGTAAGACGAGGCTGGAGGGTAAGCGAGGGGGACAGCGGTGACCACGCAGAGTGGTGCACGCCGCCAGTCCTCAGCAACTGCACCGTGACGGGCCCCCGTCTCATCCGGAGCTCCCAGGAGCCCAGGAGAAATGGGAAGCCTGACTGGTTACAGGGGTTATCATGTCCAGGGCTAAAACCACACCAGCCGCTTAAGAGGAAACGTTTTCCTAACACTGAACACAGAGAAATTTCTGTCCCCGCAGTAGAGGGAGTACTTACATCAGCCCTTCAGCACAAAACTGCTCTCTGAAATATTTCTCACCGTGCCCTTCCCTGGAGGCTAATGGAACACGAGTGAAGGGGAGCGAATAAAGGACAACAGGTGGAGTAGGTGCACAGGTCTGAGAGGGTGGGCTTGAAGCCAGAACACATTTAGGATGTCCAGAAAAACAGACGCTGTGTGCCCTTCAGATATCCATCACTGATATTCATTCTCACAATCAAACTCGAATCAGGAGGCGAATCTGCACACTTACTGGCATCACCCTTCCCCCTGCAGGCCCCCAACCCCGCCTGAACCGGGCGCGCGCCCGGCGGGACAGAACCAGGTGCACGCCCGGCGGCCCGGCTCCAGAGCTGTACCTTTTAGGGTCCATGCACTCGCTGAGGTTCACCATCCTCGGGCCCATGCCCCCCTTTTGGTTCTTCTCCCACCCGACCGCCTTGGGACAATCTGCAGACAGATAAAACAACGATTTCAGCGAAGGAAAGAAGGACAGAGAATGAGTCCAAGCAGCAAGACAGCTCACGCCTCGATGGGCTTTCAGTCCGCTGAGTTTGCATCCACCTGCCTTGGCTGCCTCCTCGTGTTCCTGGGCCACGAGGAGTCTTGTTTAGAGACCCCCAGACCCAAGCACAGTCTTCCTGCACAGGGGCTTCTGAAAGAGCCCTGACTCTGCCCTGAGTTACCTCAACTTCTGCAGCTACTGGAAGCTGCTCAAAAAAAAAAAAGACGACTATACTTGGAGCGGGTCTAAGCCTGTGGAGGGGTCTTCACCTGAGGAAGCCCCCCAGCATGCCTGCAGCATACCTTCCCATCCAGGTCAGCATGCCCCTTCCGCTCCTCATCCTACGTCACCCAGTTGCCCTGTGACCCTGTCCACCAGAGCGTGTCTACCTGTCTACAGACCTCAGTCCAGGGACTGCTCCTCTGCTAAGCTGTCCTCTCCCCTAAGACTCTCCTCTCCCCTGACTTTTCCCTTCTCTGCTGACCCCTTTTAACCTCTGCTGGGGTGGGGGGTCCTCTGCGACTCCAATTCCAGCCGTTCTCAAAATGCCTCCCCCACGCACAGCTCTGCGAGGATGAAGATCCTGTGGCCAACGGGCCTGGGAAATGCTTCGTACCCTACCTGCGTCTCCATCTGCCCCGCCCCCACCTGGAGAGTCCCTCCCACGTGGTGGAGATGAAGCTCGGAGAGACCTGCAGTAAAGAAACCACTCCGTCCGATTTGGCTTTGAGCTTCCCAGTCTTGGCTGGCTCTCCCTAACTCCCTCACCTCGTAACACCGATTAAAACCCCACGGGACACATTCAGGGAACTGCTGCTCTATTCCACTACTGCAAAATCTTCTCAAAAAAAAAAAAAAAAAATCGCAAGTGCTCTGCGGAATACCTCAATGGAATCCTGGCTTCCTTGGTGGAAACATGGCCTTGTAACTCCTGCACAAGGGGGCCACCCACGCCTATACTCCCCGCACCCAGGGACCTCAGTCACTTTACCTTCCTCACTGAATCCCCCAAATTCAGAAGACAGTCTCAACTCCTTCTCAGGGAGTTCACCCAGCCAGCTACCCTTCCAGCACCACCTCCAGTATCTGCTTTAACTAACAGTCTCTGAAGAGACAGGAGCTCCTTGATTTAAGGTTCGGAGGTATTTTAGGACAACTGGCAGGAATTTGTCACTAATTGTACACTGGCTTTCTTTAGAAATTCTCCTCTTTTTATATTTCTATCAACACCCTATTTTCCTTTCCTTGGACCTATTAGCTTTTAACCTTTGTTTCCTAAAATAATATTGCCCAACATAATTATGGGGCCAAGGGGTGTTAATTCCATTTCTGGGCCAGGATGACCAGTGGGAAACCAAAGCCAAGTAGCTGGGGGCAGCCTGCACAAACACCCCTTCCTGCTCTAGCTCAGGCGCTATGGCCCGGTCCTGTTTACATCACAAAACAATCAAAGCTGAAATAATAGATTAGAGATCTTAGAGAGAAGAAGAATCCAGAATTATTTTTCTGGGGGAAAAAAAAGTTCAAACCTGTTACTGATTCACATTTTGTTTGATTTCCTTGCTGTTCTTACATTAAATTAAAAAATGCTTCTTTAACTCATGGCACAGAAATTTGACAGGAACTTTAGAAACACAGTCTAGTACTACGATTAATAACGCCAATCTAAGCTTGCTCCTATTACAGATAAGAGAACATAAAACAAAAACAAAATGTCATCGCAAATTAAAACCTCTCTGTACTCAAGATGTTACAGCCTTTTTAATGAAATCAGATGTACTTTAAACTTATTGATGATTTTTTTAAAAATACCATGTGCTGTGCTCAGTCGTGTCTGACTCTTTGCGACCCCATGGACTGTAGCCTGCCAGGCTCTTCTGTCCATAGGATTCTCGAGGCGAGAATACTGGAGTGAGTTGCCATGCCCTCTTCCAGGGGATCTTCCCCACCCAGGGATCAAACCCAGGTCTCCTGCACTGCAGGCGGACTCTTCACCATCTGGGCCACCAGGGAAGCCCCCTGCTTCCATCTAATCTACATCCATAAGACATACCCCAAACTGATGAGAAAGAAAAATTTTTAGGGGAAAATAAGGCCCTGTTCTCCCCTAGTTGGACAACGAGGAGAGTTGCCCAAAGTGGCACATCAAGGACAGGAACTGAAAGGAGGGGCCCCCACTCTGAGCCATGTCCGCCCCCCCCCTCAGCCAGCTGCAGGAATACTCTGGGTCAGCAAAGGCCAGTGAGCCTGGCTGCACCCGGACAGCAGCAGAAGCTACAGGATGTTCAAAACTGTATTTCTTACAGTTTTGTCACTGCAACTACGGGATGTCTCAGAAATGTTAAAAGATACTACCGTACTAATACCTTCAGTTCACATTACAACACAGAGTTTTATTTATTATGAAGTTCTGCATCAGGAACATTTGCCTTTCTTAAACTAAACCATCTACGCTTGATATCAAATGTAAAGACTTGGAGGCACTACTGTGCTACAGAAAATCGCTTTCTCAAGTGGAAGTGCATGGCGTATCCTGGGTTTGCCAGCTTCACCAAGTATCCATGATATCTCGGGGATCAGAGAGTCACTCAGTGACTTCATCTTAAAAATGGAAAGAAAAGGGCCTCTCTCCAAAGGTGGTATGAAGGAGAGGGTGCTAAATCAAATGCAAACATCCAAAGACGACGCACTAGAAACGACCCTGATGCTAGGAAGGACTAAAGGCAGGAGAAGAAGGGGGCAACAGAGGATGAGATGGTTGAATGGCAACGCCGACTAGATGGACATGAGTTTGAGCAAGCTCTGGGTGTTGGTGAAGGACAGGGAAGCCTGGCGTGCTTCAGTCCATGGGGTCGCAAAGAGTCAGACACGACTGAGCGACTAAACAGCAACAAGAAAAGACAGTGGAAAGACAAAAGATACCTTAAGGCTCCAAACTCAAGAGTAAACAGCTTCTTCTTTTGCCTCACCAAGCAGAGATTTTAACATTCCTCATCCCCAAAACACACATTCACAGTAAGGCACATGACTCATGGACTGAAGAAAGCAGTGTGCCTTGGGACAATGCAGATGCTATAATACAGGAGCAAATTAAACCACCTAAGTATATAAAAGTACTCTGAAGAGTTTGCCATACAAAGAAAGCTGAAGGGGTCATCTTGCAAAGAGTTCTGGACTTTGGGAAAGATAGGAAATTACCATAAATTAGCACTTATGAAGCAACTACAGTATGCCCTCACAGCATCCATCATTTACACAGGAGTCAGATTCCTCCTAAGGGGTGCGCCACGAGATGGCTATCACTTCCTTTACTTCCACTCAAATTTGAGTATGTTATTCTGTCTTTGTGATGTGTACCTCAAGACAGACATAGACATAAATGCAGGACCATCTATACATAAACACATCTCTCTCTCTCTCTATGTGTGTGTATATATATATATATATATATACACACACACATATATATACATATAAAACATATCTGTGAGCCTGCATTTCCTAACTTATGAGGTGGGGATAAGATGAAGAACATTAAATGTGGAAGGAGAAATGGCACTTTTGCTGACTAGTTTATGGAGAATAAGATCACACATATATTTTGTAACAAATAAAAACATAGGTGCATTAATACTTCATTCTTCCTGTAAGAAGGGTAAGGAATAAAGATTCGTTTTTAACCAAAAACAAAAAATAAAGGAAAAAAAATCCTCAGGGTTGAAAAAACTGCCTTGAGGGAATTTCCCGGGGAGAATCTCTGCCTTTGTTCCCATCTGTACAACAGATGGGAATCTCTGCCCTTCGTTCCAGGGACACATTCCCAGTGACAAAGAGGTAGGAGCTGTGGTTCACCTCCACTGTAATTGTAAGCGGAGGGAAGAAAAGCAAGGCCTTATTGGTTTTTTGGGCTCCAAAATCATTGCAGACAGTGACTGCAGCCAGGAAATTAAAGGACGCTTGCTCCTTGGAAGAAAAGCTATGACCAACCTAGACAACATATTAAAGAGCAGAGACATTGCTTTGCCAAAAAAGGTCCATCTAGTCAAAGCTGTGGCTTTTTCAGTAGTCATATATGGATGTGAGAGTTGAACCATAAAGAAAGCTGAGTGCCAAAGAATTGATGCTTTTGAGCTGTGGTGTTGGAGAAGACTCTTGAGAGTCCCTTGGACTGCAAGGAGATCCAAGCAGTCCATCCTAAAGGAAATCAGTCCTGAATATTCATTGGAAGGACTGATGCTGAAGCTGAAGCTCCAATGTTTTGGCCACCTGATGTGAAGAGCTGACTCATTTGAAAAGACCCTGATGCTGGGAAAGATTGAAGGCAGGAGGAAAAGGGGATGACAGAGGATGAGATGGTTGGATGGCATCACTGACTCGAAGGACATGGGTTTGAACAAGCTCTGTGAGTTGGTGACGAGAGGGAAGGCTGGCGGGCTGCAGTCCATGGGGTCACAAAGTCCATGGATACAACTGAGCGACTGAACTGAACTGAATTGATTGGGTTTCTGATAAGTGGTAATTATGTGCGTTCTCCAAGGTGGCAAATTACCTGGGCTGAATGCCATCTCTGGAAGCTTCACTTCGAAGACGATGCTGTGGGCGACGTCTCTCACCCCCTGCAGGGTGCGGTCCCGGAAGCAGACCACTTCCACGGACTGGAAACTGCCACTCCTGGTGTCGGCCCCGGATGTTTATGTTTCGGTTTTTTCAAGGAAGGAAAAGAGAGAGCTCACCTCAGAGCTTCGGCAAACCCAGCTGGAGAGGATTCAAGTCACTGTAAGTACACCCCCCTGACACCCTTGGGGGAAACAGCCTTCACCTCTGAGATTCTGAGCACATCCACATATGCTCCCTTTGTCCAAGCGTCTAGAGGCTGGGTGTGGAACGGGCTCTGATTTCTTTTTAGGTGAGTTTTACATAATGATTTCATATTGCACAGAAATAATTCTGACAAATGAATCTTGAATGCAGGGGGAAAGAAGCTCATAAGACATTAAAAAGAAACTCCAAGACAAGCATGAGTTCCTCCGGTCCCCCTTCTCCCACAGGATCTTACAGAGCAGGCCGTGGTGAGGAAGCCCACGGCTACACAGACTCACCACCAGGATAAGCACGTGTAACCCTCTCCTTCTGGGGAAGGTCTATGATCTAGCTATCTCCCAGTGGACATCGTTATCTAAGTAAAGCACACACAGATGTAAATACCGAAATCCTAAATCCACAGGAGCTTGTCTCATGCTTCCCCCCAGTCCTTAAACAGCCCTTTCAACAGTGACTCCTACTCTAACTTCTAAGTAGGAACTTCAGTTTTAACTTAAAAGGTCCAGCCTCTTTCACTCACCACTATGCTTTTTAAACTCATCTGTGTTGGTAAGTGTACCAGTAATTCACTCAGGCTGACTACAACACTGCATTCCATGGTAGTGAATACACCCCACGGTATTATCCATTTCGTTGTTCAAGGAGATCTGGGTCATTTCCAGTGTTAGGTTATGAAGAACAACGCTGCTATCAGCATTCCTGTATAGGTGTCTTGCTTGCATCTGAGGGTGCATTTCTGTGCTTTACGCACCTGAGAGGGAAACTGCTGAGCTGTAGACAATTTCTAACTTTGGGAGATACTTCCAAACAGGTACCCAGCGATATCTGAGGGTTCCAATTCATCCACATCATCAATAGCACTTGATATTGTCATCTTTTTAAACTCAGTCTGGTGAGTATCTCATTATCTGGTGAGTGTGTGGCAGTATCTTTCATAACAGCATCTTGTTATCTTTATTAACGAGTACTGTCTTGTTATATTTTATTTCCTGGATGACTAACTATGTTGGGCATCTTTTCAAATGTGCACTACCCTCTGTTTTATTCAGTTTAGGGTCAGGAAAAAGGGAGGACGGTAGCAATAAGAAAATCCTTCCTGAACACAACTCAGCTGAAGTGGGGGCTAGAGAAGTTCAGGATGGGGATCCCCTGGCTGTGGGTCCTGATCTACCCTACGCTGTCTTCAGCGCAACACGATTGGAGTCTGAAGCTCCGTAACAGACCTGCTTAGAGGGTCACCACCAATGGAAACTGGGTCATGACAATGTACTGATTTGTTATCTGGTTTCTACATCAGCAATGAAAAAAAAATCCATTTGGGAAAACAGAAATATAGACAGAGTCAGACACAAGGTCAAAAACATATAGTCAAAGACTGACAGAGACAGGCAGGCAGATGGACACATATACATACACACACACACATAAATACCATCTGTGGGCTGCCAGGACCAAAAAGTTCCTCAAAGGCCATCCGGGGTACTGCACTAAGTTACAGGGATCGTATACGCCGATCGTTATCTGTGAATAGAAAAGACTTCGAGTGAGGCAGGGACCGTGTCCGATTCACAGCACAAACACTGCTAATCCCTCCCCTCTCCGATTAACTCGGCTGTGCAAAAGCATCAACTATTAGACACTTGGTGAAGGGCTGGAGGAAAGAGAAGAAAGCAAAAGGACCTCACACCTGACGACAGAATGTCCTGATGGCTCGGGTTGTCAAATTCTTCCCTTCACCCCCTGTGCGGAACTAGACACATTTAGAAGGAAGACTGAAAGGAAGACAGGGAGGGAGGGTGGGAGGGCAGCCAATCGTCAGGGCTCACAAAGAGAAGATCCTATCTCAAAGAGATACGGTCTGTGAAAACTGCTAATTTTCATGTAAAGAGAAAAGTCAAAGAAGGGCCACTACCACTGTAAGGAAGCGTACAGTCAGACCAAACTCAAAAGCCAGACGCCTTCGATGCTGCTCACCTGCATTTACTCCCACTCCTCCCTCTGCCAGCTCCCCCAGCCCTGCTCTCCATCTGGAAACACTGCCTGAACTTCAAACGCCGTGTTTTTAAGGAAGACTGTCCCCAGTGGAGGTCATCACCCTGTCTTCTCTGCTTCCTGATCCCTCTGTACATCATACAGGACAGCTTTCACTTTTTCTGTATCCTTCATCTCAAAAGACAATGAGGCCTTAATTTCTAAATACCGTTCTCCAGTAAAAGGAATCGGGGCTCTCTGGACACATGGGTAATCCTAGGGCTAGAGCAGGAAAAAAAAAAAAAAGGGCTTCCTCGATGGCTCAGTGGTACAGAATCCACCTGCAATGCACGGGACAAAGGAGAAGCAAGTTCAATCCCTGCGTGGGGGAGGGATGGAGGAGGAAATGGCAACCCACTCCAGGGTTCTTGCCTGGGAAATCCCATGGACAGAGGAGCCTGGTGGGCTACTGTCCATGGGGTCACAAAGAGTTAGACACGACTGAGTGACCAAGCAAGCACAGCAGGGAAAACAGAAGACGAGCCTGGAGCAGGAAGTGCTGAATAAACAGAAGGCCAGGGGCATTCAAGGGGCACCAGAGACACCTGAAAAGAGCTCTGAGTGCCCAAGGCTGAAACAAGGTGAGCAACGGAATAAAGAACGTACTATTAGATTGTAACCCAACATATAAAATAAATACCTATGAGTCCATAATGGCATAAACGAAGAGACGAATATTTGAAGGGGAAGGGACAAGTCTTCCTTACAGAAGGTTTCCAAGCAATATATGTAGATACAGACCCCCCAGGGACAGAGCTTAATCCTTCCCCACCCTGAGTGTGGGCTCGACTTGATGACTCTTTCCCAGAGAAAAAATAGTAGGGATAATTTTGCAATATTAGAAAAACAAGGGAATTCCAGAAAAATATCTATTTCTGCTTCATTGACTATACAAAAGCCTTTGACTTTATGGATCACAACAAACTGGAAAATTCTTAAAGAGATAGGAATACCAGACCACCTACGGGTCTCCTGAGAAACCTGTATGCAGGTCAAGAGGCAATAGTTAGAACTGGTCACGGAACAATGGACTGGTTTCAAATTGGGGAAGGAGTACGTCAAGGCTGTATATTGTTACCCTGCTTATTTAATTTATAAGCAGAGTACATCATGTGAAGTGCCCAGCTAAACGAATCACAAGCTGGAATCAAGATTGCCAGGAGAAATATCAACAACCTCAGATATGCAGATGATACCACTCTAATGGCAGAAAGTGAAGAGGAGCTAAAAAGAGCCTTCTGGTGAAGGTGAAACAGGAGAGTGAAAAAGCTGACTTAAAACTCAACATTCAGAAAACGAAGATCATGGCATTTGGTCCCATCACTTCATGGCAAATAGATGGGGAAACAATGGAAACAGTGGCAGCTTTTATTTTCTTGGGCTCCAAAATCACTGCAGATGGTGACTGCAGCCATGAAATTAAAAGACACTTGTTCCTTAGAAGAAAAGCTATGACAAACCTAGATGGTGTATTAAAAAGCTAAGACATCATTTTGCCAACTAAGATCTGTATAGCCAAAGTTATGGTTTTTCCGGTAGTCATGTACAGATGTGAGAGCTGGACCATAAAGAAGGCTGAGCACTGAAAAATTTATACTTTTGACCTGGGGCGCTGGAGAAGATTCTTGAGAGTCCATTGGACAACAAGGAGATCCAACCAGCCAGTCCTAAAGGAAATCAGTCCTGAATATTCATTGGAAGGACTAATGCTGAAGCTCCAATACTTTGGCCACCTGATTCGAAGAGCCAACTCACTGGGAAAGACCCTGATGCTGGGAAAGATTGAGGGCAGGAGGAGAAGCGGGGAACGGAGGATGAGCTGGTTGGATGGAATCACCGACTCAATGGACATGAGTTTGAGCAAACTCCAGGAAATAGTGAAGGATAGGGGAGCCTGGCATGCTTCAGTCCATGGGTCACAAAGAGTCAGACATGCCTTAGTGACTGAACAATTATGCAGTGGAGAAACCTGGCCAATTCTACCTTAAACAAGTGATCACGTTTAACACCACCAGGAATGTCATGTGAGTTTCAGGTAGCTAATACATGATATGACGACAAGGGCACTTCACCTTTGGGGCACTCTTTCCAAAAATAATCCCAACTGCTATAACCCTATTTAATCATAAGTAAACATCAGGCAAACCCGAGAGGCATTTGACCAAAATAACTGAACCAATACTCTTCAAAATTGTGAAGGTCACTAAAAACAATAGAAGTCTGAGGAACAGTTAGAGACCAGAGGAGGAGACATGACAACAGAATGCAGTCTCCTGGATGGGATCCTGGCATGAAGGAGGATGCTAATGGAAACACTGGTGAAATCTGAACGAACTCCAGAATGCAGTTAATGGTTATGGATTAATGTTGGTTTCTCACTTCTGACAAATGTACTGTGATAATGTAAGCTGACAACACCAGAGAAAACTAAAATGGATGAGGGTAGACTCTGCACCATACTTCAGCTTTTCTGTAAATCTAAAATTATTCCAAGATAAAGGTCATTAGAAAAAAAGAAGAGAGTGAGCATCTACAGAGCAAGGAGTAGGTTCCAGGTCTCCATAATGAGTTCACAGATACACAGCATGTATCAAATGAAGGCGAATGAATGGTGAAAAGATAGAAGAAGAGAGGGAGCAGGGGGAAGGGGAAAGGGTGGTGAAAGGGTGGGAAGGAAGGGGGCTGGCAGAAACCCATTAACTTATTAGCATCAACTGTATTCAATTTTCCACTCCTAGCACCAGGCTAGAGGATGTATGGATGTGAGAGATGGACCATAAAGAAGGCTGAACACCAAAGAATTGATGCTTTTGAACTGCAGTGTTGGAGGAGACCCTTGACAGTCCCTTGGACTGCAAGGAGAGCCACACAGTCCATTCCAAAGGAGATCAGTCCTGAATATTCATTAGAAGGACTGATGCTGAAGCTGAATACTTCGGCCACCTGATGTGAAGAACTGACTCACTGGAAAAGACCCTGATGCTGGGAAAGATTGAGGGCAGGAGGAGAAAGGGTAACAGAGGATGAGATGGTTGGATGGCATCACCGACTCGATGGACATGACTTTGAGCAAGCTCTGGGAGATGATGATGGACAGGGAACCCTGGTGTGCTGCAGTCCCTGGGGTCAAAGAAGAGTCGGGCATGCCTGAGCAACTGAACAACTAGTACCTGGCTAGTTCCTCCCTGATGCCCCCCTCTTTCCTTCCTCAACACTAGAGGCTCTCCACTCAGCGATATTCTAACCCTGGGATGCTCCTGGGTGAGACGGTGGGGGCATGGTCTGAGAGACCGTCGCCTGTGACGAGCACGAGCACTCCGAGAAGGAGCCCCCGCCTCGCGCTCTCTCCGAATGGACACACTACCTTCCTGGGGTTTCCTGGTCCAGCTGGCCATCACCACCGTGGGGGGCAGCTTTTTGTTTTGTTCCCCCATATAGACAGCGATAGACGGCATCTGTCAGGCTGACTACATTTAGTAAGTCATCATCGCTTCAACTTCACACTTAAAAAAATTTACCAAAGGCATTAATCACTTTGTTGTCCAGAAAGAAAATGGGGAGAAGGGAGAAGCTGGCATTCAACAACTGTACTATTGGAAACAGCTTAGAGAAGAGAACGGCCTGATGGTGGGCGGGAAAAAAAAGTGCTGGCTATAGCCCCAGTGGGTATGGTTCTAATCCTGCCGCTAATTGATTCTAAGACCTTGGGGAAGGTCTTCCCTCGCCTGTAAAATGAAGTGGTAAAATCATTCCATCTCAAAGGAGTCCTTCTAGCTCCAGAATTATAAAGCATTATAGGCCATTAAAGAGGGGAGAAAAAAAAAACTTATATAGGTTACAAAACAACACAGACTATATTAAGGTTCAATTTTACCTAGTGTCTAAAGGCTCCTTAATTTTTATTTGGGAAGAACCCAGACATATTAATCCAGAAAATACCATTCATACAGAGATGTTGCATTTCAATTTTCAAATACAACTCCATAAACCTGGGCTGTTATCAAATGTTCTGAGTTACTCTCATTTGATCTTCAGCAATTTCCTACACCTCTCTACACCTTAAATTCTCATCTGTAGGGTCACACTCACCTGCACTTGGCACAGAGACCGAGAACAAGATAAGCACTCAACCAACAATAACTATAACCACAAAAATTCCACTGTAGTAAATTTATCAACCTCTTTGTTCAGTTCAGTCTATCACCGTTAGTTATCTACCTTCAGCTTCAAAGTTATCATTTCTTAGCTGGCAGAGAAAAAGGAGGGTAAGTTCTAGTTTAATCAAATATTCTCTGGGTCTAGTTTCATCATCTGAAACTGTAGAGGTGAGACTAAATGATATTTAAATTATATAAATTAGAATGTGACATTAGATAGTACAAGTGGATGCTTAATTTCAAAAAATGAGCATATTTCTGACACTAAATACAAAGGCAACCAGGCAGGAAGGTAGTAAGAAAAAAAATCCTTTTAGATAAGATCAGGAAGAA